ACATCCTCCCATTTTTTTTTGTTCAGATAGAGTGGGAGGGAGAGAGGAACAGAGAGAGAGAGAGAAACATCGATGTGAAGGGACACATCGAGTGGCTGCCACCCGCACGACCGACCAGGGCCGGGGACAAACTGCAACCGAGGTACGCGCCCCCAGCGGGAACCGAACCCGGGTTTCTCCAGACCGCAGGCTGACGCTCTAACCGCTGAGCCAAACCGGCCAGGGCATCAGTTTATTTTTTATTGGCCCCTTTTGGAGGGTGAGGAGGTGGCCTAGAAATATGAAGTTATAGGCAAGGGATAAGCATTCTGTGCTATGTAGGGCAATGATTAGTGATATTTCATCTCTCCCACTAATTTTTTTCTTTTCTTTATCTTTTCCTTGTAATACTCTCAATTTGTTTCATTTTTTTGGTGGGAAGGATTCTCTTTTTTTCCCCCTCTCTTTATTCTTTTTAGGATAGTCAGCGGCCCTGGCTACATTGATTCTTCTAAGAGACAGCCCTGTTGCTGAGTTGAAATAGAACTCAGAACACAGGGAATAGCCCAAAACAACAGGATAGCTTTGGGAAAAGGAGAAAGGGTGACACCTACTGGAAGAACTTCTGAGGTTCTGTCTGATGCCGGTTAGACTCTCCTTGGAAAAAAGTACATGCACACAAAACTTCACCTAATTATTGGGAAGCAAAGTCCCCCAAAGCACATCCATTAACTCCAGGAACTCCAGGTTAAAAATAATAATAAGAGCTCATCTTTATTAAGTGCTTACCTTGTGCCAGATACTTTAAATGTATAACCTCATTTAATCCTCACAACTACCCTGAGATAGACATTCTTATCCTCATTTTATAGATTAGGAAACTGAGGTCGAGAGATCTTCAGTAAGTAGCCCAAAGTCACAGCTATTAAGTTGTGGAGATGAATTTAAATCTAGGGAAGTCAGAATTCTCATCCCCTAAGGTATACTGTCTGCTTTAAATACATATATGTAATTATGTGTAGATATAATTTTTATATAATTTTATAATTAAAAATATGTAGTATTTTTCTCTTATGAATCTCAATGATATTTCTGAAAGATAAGTAAATAACAATTAACTTAAGGCAGTACAATAAAAACAAAACAGATCTCAAACATTATCCCACATGTTCCTCCTGACATATATTAAATCATCATTTTCACAGGACAGGGGAAGCTTCGCTGCTACATTGTAGGTACTAAGGAAAGGTAAAGAAACAACAGGGTTAGTAATACTAGAATACAGAGGTAGAAAAATGTATACTACTCAGGTGCTGAGACATTGATCTAATGGGAAGAGCAATTTTTAGTCTAGAAAGTAGAAGGACCATTCCAAGCACTAGACTTGAAAGTCAGGAAGCCTAGACTTGAGTCTTATAAACTGTATGTGGTATAAAAAAATACTTTAATTTTTTAGTAATTTTGTTTCCAACTACTAAAATTAATACCTGTTAATATAGACTGTCATGTATAGAAAACAAGTGCCCTCATGCTACACTCCCCAGAGAAGAAAGATTGCATACGTACACCTAACTTCCCCATCCTCAAAGGCTTGTGCCTTCCAATCAGAAGACATATAGAGCCAAAAGCATCGAGGGAAGAGAGCTGAATAGTCAGTGTGTTTATTGGCAGCAGAGTATGAGAGAAGAGGACCAGATAATACCACTGATCGACTCATGCCAGGGTCTTCCTGAGAATCTGAGATTCCTGAGGTGCATTTTAACGTCAAAGCGTGTTCAGAACACACTAGACTAGTTTTCCCATGGAAAGCATTCAGCAGAAAATGTCTTTTTAGTACCCAAGACTTGATTGCATAAGATTTAATTATGAAGCAAAACAAAAGCTACTTTCAGAAGCCACATTCTCAAATTCCTCAAATGTTGCAGACATACTCATATTGCCACGTAGTGTATTCTTATACCCACGATTTGCTGCAGGAGCCAGGTGTGGAAAGGACAAGTCCACGCCATCCACATCCATGCCTAGCTCTGGGGGAAGCCCTTTCTCCACGCCCTCTGACTGGCCTGACGGGGGTCACAGTCCTCCAATGGGAGGTGAGCGGGGACAGACAGGTTCCCTGCTACATCGTCTTGATCACCTCTGCCTGCCTTCCTAACACTGACCAGAAGGGAAGTACCTAGAACACAGGCAGTCTCAGTGAAAAGAGAAGGGCAAGAAACTCTCAAAACAGATTTTGAGATTAAGGTCAAAATCCAGTATTCCTTTCATCTCACTGACGAGGGGTTAAGGAAGTTTGTGAGGTTTCTTTCTCTCCCCACCTTCTCTCTGTCTGTCTGTCTGTCTGTCTCTCATTGTGCACAGGGTTTAAAAAATTAACCTACTCCGACTCTAAAACACTGCTGGTGGGAATGCAGACTGGTGCAGCTGCTATGGAAAACAATATGGTGCTACCTCAAAAAATTAAAAATTGAACTTCCATTTGACCCAGTGATCCCACTGCTGGGAATATACCCTAAGAAGCCTGAAACACCAATCAGGAAGAATATATGTACCCCCCCATGTTCATAGCAGCACTATTTACAATAGCTAAGATCTGGAAACATCCCAAGTGTCCATCAGTAGACGAATGGATAAAAAAGCTGTGGTACATATACACAATGGAGTACTATGCAGATGTAAGAAAGAAAGATCTCTTATCCTTTGAGACGACATGGAGGGACCTGGAAAGTATTATCCTAAGTGAAAGAAGCCAAGCAGAAAAAGACAAATACCACATGATCTCACTTATATACGGAATATAATGAACATAACAGTCTGAGGAATACAGTAGACCCAGACACATGGAAGTAGGGCACAGACTGACATCCCTCAGAAGAGGGGATGGGGGGTGGGGGAGTGGGAAGAGATAAACCACAGAACTTATATGCATGTGTGCATGACCAATGGACATGGACAACTAAGCCGGGGACAGGGTGGAGGGGGGTGGGGTGGGGGGTGCCAATGGGGTAAAAAGGTAAAATATCTGTAACAAAAAAATAAATAAAAATTCATTAAAAAATATATATATATATTGTAGAAAAAGTAACTAAGACTTAGCCCTGGCCGGTTTTGCTCAGTGGTTGGCCCGTGGTCCTTAGAGACCCGGGTCCGGTTTCCACTATAAAGTCACGTACCTCGGCTGCAGTTTGTCCCTGGCCCTGGTTGGTTGTGCTGGTGACAGCCACTTGATGTGTCCCTTTCACATCGATGTTTCTCTCTCTCTTCCTCTCCCTCCCTCCCACTCTATCTGAACAAAAAAATGAAAAAATGTCCTTGGGTGAGGATAAAAAAAAAAAAGTAAGACTTAAACAACTGACAATAAAAATAACCCTCATATCACACAAAGGAGTTTTAGTAAATCTTAGCTCAATCTCAATTGAAATGTCATTGCTAGTCATTACTTTTTTTACAGTTTTGATACTGTGTTTGTCCATTCATGAACATACAGTCATTTGATCATGGCTATTGTGTTTCTAGTATCTGAACTTTAAAATAAAATGAAGGCCAGGGTCAACTTGACTGTCAGTGAATCCGGGAGTTACCATAGCCACTTTTGCCATGTAATAAATGTGGCTGATCTTAGAGTACATGTGATATCCCCCTGGGTTGCCTGTTGTTTTTATATTTATCTGCTCTGTATCAAAGGTATGTCATAAAAAAATTGTTTTCATTTTCATGAAGATAAAAATAGCAAATACAGATTATCACTTCAAGATGTTACTGTACTCCAGTAAATTATAAAATGTCGTATTTTTTATTTCAGTAATTATAATTCTAAGATCAATGTATTTTTAGTATATATCTGGTTGTGTTCTTATGACAGAAGATTATCTGCATTCTATAATTTAGATTCTGGTTGCTTTGGCAACAAAATGCTTGTTTTAAATTTAGAAACTCATTTATTTTCTGTCATTTCATCCTTTACTGTTAAGGAGACAAAATGTTTTCTGTTAAACAAAAAATAAAAGGAGATACGGTTCTAATGGGTGGAAAAAAAAAAATTTAACCTACTCCTTTAGTGCCATACTCAGAAGAGCAAGTAACAACATAATAACATATCCAATAAATTCTACCACTTTGAGATTGTTCTCTGAATCATCACAGAATTGCACTGATCATTAAGTGTCTGTGCGGAACAGTACCGGTGTCTGTGCTCATGCAGAAATGCACGGACTTCATCAAGTATACTTGTTGAAACAGTTTATAGTCCACCTTTAGAAGTTCACCTGTCTATCAGAGTTCAAGACATGAGAAATACTTGGGATATCACTGAGAGCGGGCTATGACTCTGCTTTAAACTGCTTCCTTTCAGGAGGGTGTCAATGGGGGGGGGGGGGGCGAAAGGAGAAACATCTGTAACAAAAATAAATCAATAAAAAAATAAAACACAAATAAACTGCTTCCTTTTAAACTGGTTCTGATGAGAACCTGAATAACATTACCTAATGTAGAGGAGTAGTTTGGGGCTATTTCACGTCTGCCTCTTAATTTCCACACCACAATTCCTGCCCTACTATAATGCATTAATAAATAGCAATGTGGTTAGCAAAACCATATGAGTTTTTATGAGAAAAAAGATAAATGTAGTGTGAAGAGGCCACAGCATGGGGCAGTGGAAGAATACTGGATTTATAATCCAGTGATAGGACTTCACATTCTGAGGCCCAAACTTCTCATCTGCAGGTAAATTGCTTGCATCTCATTTTCATCATGTATTCAATGCAGTTAATCACACCCACTTTGCTGCCTCCCAGGACTGTGTTGAGGACAAATACGAATGTAGTTGTGAGAAAATACTGTAGGAATTATAAAATGCTGCTAAAACATAAGGCATTGTCATTGTCCGCTCTATCTTGAGGAAGATATTGAAGAAGACCTTCCAGATATTAGCCACTTACAAAATTCCAAAAAAGATCTAGCTGTCACATGGACCAACTCCACTCCTCTCATTTTAAATAGTCTATTCTTGATGATCAACTTACCTCGATAGAGGGAAAGGCTGTTCAATTCTTGGGATGTAAATTCACAGATACAGACAAACAGCTTCTCTCCCTCTTTTAGGCTGGGGATGGTCACAATTTCCACAAAACTACTGGGGAACTGTCCTGAAAATAAAAGCAAAAATTTCCAACACTGAAATTTCTTTTTGTGTCTGTGTACCATGACAAAAAAAAACACCTTTCTAGGCCCATTTATAGAGCCCAGTTAAAACCTCACTGAGTAAGAACACAGAAATGCAATTCAATCCAATAAGCATTTACTGGGTGTCACGCTATGTGAGGCGCACACACTGCAGAGGGAAAATGAAGGAGACAGTGGGGCCCTCAAAGATCTGAAGATCTGGTCCAAACTCTAGTTTACACATTAACAAAAAAGTAAATTCTGAAATCCAGTGTCACAGCACAGGTACACAAATTTCTATGGGATATCAGAGAAGGGAGAGAATAGGTCAGAAAGAATATGAAAATTTTATTAAAAAGATAAAATTTGAGCCCTGGCCAGTTTAGCTCAGTGGTTAGAGTGTCTGCCCGCAGACCGAAGGGTTCCAGGCTCAATTTCTGGTCAAGGGCATGGTGCATACCTGGGTTGCACCAGGTTCAATCCCCGGCCCCGAGTGGGGGTCACGCAAGAGGCAACCAATCCATGTATCTCTCTCACACCGATGTTTCTCTCTCTCCCTCCCTTCCTTCCATTCTATCTTTAAAAAAAAAAAAAAGATAGCATTTGAATCTAAAAATGGGTAGGGTTTTAATAGGAAGTGGTAGAGAGACAGGGCCTGTCAGTTGGAAAGCATCAGGTTTAACTGATTCTACCTTCTAAATATCTCTGGTATCTGCCCACTTACCTCCAGACCCCCCACCTTGGTCCAAGCCTCAGCAACTCTCACCTAGATTACTGCAGCAACCTCCCATCCCGCCTCCTGCCTTCGGTTTAACCCCTTCCTATCATCCTTCAATCTGCAGCAGCGAGCTTTCTAAAAATCTGGTAACAATCTTAAATCACTTTGATGATTTCCCTTTTCTGTAACTACTTACCACACTCGGTCCTTCATGGTCCAACTTCTGCTCATCTCCTGAGCACCATCCCGTCCCCCCAACCATTCACATTTTATGCCATGCTGAACTTTTCTCAGTCCCTCCGAGTTCTCTCTTGTTCTAGGGCAGCAGTTCTCAAACTGTGGGTCACGACCCCTTTGGGGGTCGAGTGACCCTTTCACAGGGTTCGCCTAAGACCATCGGAAAACACGTTTCCAAAGGCGATTTATAACAGTAGCAAAATTACAGTTATGAAGTAGCAACAAAAATAATTTTATGGTTGGGGGTCACCACAACATGAGGAACTGTATTAAAGGGTCGCGGCATTAGGAAGGTTGAGAACCACTATTCCAGGGCCTCTGAACAAGCAATTCTCTCTGCCTATCCTCCTCTTTGCCTTGCTAACTCCAACTCATCATTTCCGTCTCAGCTGAGATATAATTTCTACTGGGAAATAATCGGTTATCTACCAAATGTGGGTTAAGTGTCCACGGAAAACAGGAGGTAGGTTCATCTAGGGGAAAAGACAGCTTTAATAAATGTGGGCCAATCATGGATCTAGGAAGAAGTGAATAGGAGGCATCACACTCCCTTTAGAAGAATGAAAGTGCCCTGGCCAGTTTGGCTCAGCGGTTAGAGTGTCGGCCCATAGACCAGAGAGTCTTGGGTTCGATTCCAGTCAATGGCATGTACCTCGGTTGCAGTTTGTCCCTGGCTCTGGTTAGGGTCATGCAGTGGCAACCAGTCGATGTGTATCACATCCATGTTTCTCTCTCTCTCTTCCTCCCTTTCTCCCTCCTGCTCTATCTAAAGATAAATGCAAAAATGTCCTCGGGTGAGGATTAAACAAACAAACAAAAAAGAATGAAAAGAAGGGTGGAAATGTTAAAAGAAGACAGCCAGCCTTTGCCCGGCCAGTGTGGCTCAGTGGATTGAGCATCGTCTGATGGACTGAGAGGTCCCGGTTCAATCCCAGTCAGGGCACATGCCCAAGTTACGGGCTCAGTCCCCAATGAGGGGCGTGCAGGAGGCAGCCAACTGATGTTTCTATCTCTCTCTCCCTTCCTCTTGCTCTAAAAAACCAATAAAAACATATTAAATAAAAAATAAGAAGACAGCCAGAGAAAACAAGGTGGAGAAAACCTTACATTCCATAAATCAGAGATAAAACTGCTAGTGAAAAGCAACGGCAAACGAGAGGGGAGTTCTGAAAGGAGGAGTAAGGCATATGTTCAGAAGACAAATAATGGTGCTGAATATAAAGGCTAAAGACCTGGGAAGAAATTGGAAAAAGATGGAAAAGAAATTAATGGAAAACTGGGCTTGGGGAAGCTAGTATCTAACCACTTCAACCTTTTGAAGGAACCAAAAGAGAGATGGAATAATAAGACATTCTCGCCTTGCTGGTAGAAATCACAGTGAATATATATGGAAAACACAAAAGGATTCTGAGTTTACTGAACTCAGAATTGGGTTTCTCCCTGATTCTTTATTTTTAATATGGAAAGAAGGGAGGGCTTGTGGTCCATTTTGTATACAAAGAATTAGGAGCCTCTTACCTGTAACATCCTCTTTCTTCCCTAGAAGCCAAAACTCATCCACCACTGCCAACACCTCAATAATATCTCCCACAAAGAGTGGGAGTTCTTCTGATACGCTAGGGCAGAAGTCAAAGATGGCTCGAACCACTGAGCCAGCCTCCATGTTTATAACCTGAGCAGAAAAGTCAAAAGAAAGGGAAAGCATAAATATTTAAGACACTGTAATTTAGATCTATATCTTAAGATTGATATGCTTAAGATATAAAGATACTTATAATAAAGTCAAAGCTAAGCAAATAAAAAGTTTATACTTAAAAATATCAAAGTAGTCTCACTTATTTCTTTTTTTTTAAACTTATCTTCACTGTTGAATGTATTACAGATGTCCCCCTTTTCCCCCTTGACCTCCTCCTCCCTAATCCCGCCCCGCTCCTGCTTTCCCCACACTACTGTCTGTGTCTTCTGGTTATGCACATGGCATATAAATTCTTTGGTTACTCTCTTCCCACCCCACCTCCCCCCTTCCCTTTGAGGTTCATCAGTCTAACCACCAATTTGTACTTTCTAATCCCTTCATCTTTTTCACCCAACTCCCTTCCCATCTGGCAACCAACAAAAAGCTCTCTGTATCTATGTGTCTGTTTCTGTTCGCTTGCTCATTTTGTTTGTAGATTCAATTGTCATTTATTTCTTTTAAAATAATAACTTCCTCATACATTTTTCATTTGATTCTCAAAGTCATTCTGGAATTGAAAAACAAAAAAGTGATCTGTGAGTGACTAAAAAGATACAAGTTGAGAAATAGATTTTTTCAATATTCCTGAAGAGGGTTATAAGAAAATTTGACATTTTTTAAGTACCAGGCAACAGGGTATTTTAAAAATATGATATTTTGGCCCTGGCTGGTTTTGCTCAGTGGTTAGAACGTCGGCCTGCGGTCCGGAGAGACCCGGGTTCGGCTCCTGCTAAGGGAGCGTACCTTGGTTGCAGTTTGTCCCCGGTCCTGGTTGCAGTCATGTGGGTGACAACCAGTCGATGTGTACCTCTCACATTGATGTTTCTCTCTCTCTTCCTCCCTCTCTCCCTCCAGCTCTATCTGAAGATAAATGCAAAAATGTCCTCAGGTGAGGATAAAAAAAACCACAATTATTTATTTTAAAAAGTAGGAATTTTAAATATGGCATTTCATTTATTCCCCATAACCATCTTAAAACTTAGGATACCGCCCTGGCCAGTTTGGTTCAGTGGTTAGAGTGTTGGCCCTCAGACCAAAGAGTCTCAGGTTCGATTCCAGTCAAAAGCATGTACTTCGGTTGTGGTTCAGCCCCTGGCCCTGGTCAGGGTCATGCAGGAGGCAACCAGTCAATATGTCTTTCCACATTGATGTTTCTCTCTCTCCCTCTCTCCTTCCCACTCTATCTGAAGATAAGTGGGAAAATATCCTCAGATGAGGATCAAAAAAAAAAAAAAAATTAGGATACTGAGGCTCAGCAAGTTAGAAAACTTAATTTGTCTAAGCTCACAGAATTAGTTCATGGCAGTAGGGCCAGGATTCAGACTCAGGGCATTCTGGCTCCTATCTGCTGAAACTGTGTCTGCAAAAAAAAAAGTAATGTGAAGCAAATAATAGCAGCAGGACCACGTCTTAACGGCTCAGACTTCAAACAGACTGAAAAAGTAAAAATTCATAAAAAGAACAAAAACGGGCTATGTAGATGGCACCTCCAGACAAGATTTTTTACACTACACCAGTTCAAGAATGTGTTTTCGGTTCAAAACATCTATGGCCCAACCTTGCCTTGTTATGGTGTCTGTGCTATAACAAGATGATGTATCCATTACCTTGATGTGTGGCCAGGGAGCCTAGGTACATGCTTAAGCAACAGAAATGGAAGACATAATCAGAGAGCATATGCCCACATATAAACAATCAGCCATGACTGGCTACATTTCCCCCTAGGCCTTTTACAAGGAGTAGCTGATGACCTCCAGAGTGTCCAGGCCCCAAGTCTATTTTTCTTTCTTTATTTATCAAGAATTTATTTGGTGTTGATAGAGATGAGGATTCTAACTTTCATCTCATATACTATAACTATAATCACATCAAAATGCACTAAATGTCTAATTACAAAAAAGAAAAAAGATGGTTATAGCTCTGTTAAGTTTATAATCTAAAAAAACAATGATATGGACAAACACATTGAGCATATGATAAATAGTTCAGTATATTAACACAGAGTACTGATAAGATTTTAATGAATCTTGCATAATATATATTTTGCAACACAATTAAACATTATATATGTAATTTGTACTGCTGAGTGAAAACATCTTTGTGGTACTGGAACTCTTTCTGTAATGAGATGACGTGGGTCTACAGTGAAAAAGAGAAGTGACTAGTAATATTTCCCACATCCTCTGCCCTCACAGATTTTCTTTAAATAGCAAAAACAAATCTAATTATAATCAGACACTGAGAAGGCAGCATAATGTGGATGCAAAGAGACCAGCATTCCAATTCCAGCTCCACTATTGATTAGCCATTTCACCTTGGACATATTACTCAAATAAACCCTCTGGACTTTGGTTTCCTTGTTCAGAAAAAGGGAGATAATCATACTTTCATAACAATCATCAAGAGGATGATGATAATGGTAAAATTATCATTATGCCTAATATCTAATGAGCACTTACATGAGCATTGTACTATGTAGGTCCTTCACTGAGTCTTCACAACAACCCTATTATATATTATTAATTCTCAATTTTACATGTGAGGACACAGGCTCAAAGAGGTGATGTAATCTGTCCAAGGTCACACAGTGAGTCAAAGAGGGAACTGGGAACCCAGATCTGTCTCCAAAGCCTAGGACTGGGCTGGTATAGTAGATGCTCTATAAATGTTAGCAATTATTACTAAACACTATTTCCATAATCGGCTACAAGCTCAAATCAGTGTCTCTGATATGGCATCACTAGAGAGTGTGCTGTTCCAAGTATATAAACACTACAAAATTTACCACTTCAACATGTCAAAACTTGGTTAACTTGGACCATGTTTAAAAAGACACATTATGTATCCCTCTGCCTTCTTCAAAAGAAGACACTGCACATGACTTATTCTTTGGCTGATGGATGCCAAGTTCATTATGAAGACCATACATGACTGTACTGTGTTGTAACACATAATACCAGCACCGTATAGCTTCTAAGTCGTCCTCTTTTGATGTCAGCCTTCCCTCTGCCATCAGTTTATCTCCTCTGTCAATTTTTCCAACCTCTTCCTAGACTGTTGTTTATAGTCTCCTGGGGAAGGGGGACCACACGTACACTGCCAAAATTATTAAAAGTTCCCAGATAAATAAAAAGTAAACAAAATCCAAATGAGAGGCTAACAAACTCTTCTGTGATGGTAAAATACATGTGTTAGTGCTAGAGTTTTTCAACAGTTATTTTTTATGTGCTTTGAGGCCCTGTTCTTAGTTTCTGGCTGTCTTCCAAAGGGCCGAAGCAGCCAGATGTCAGATTTCCACATAAGGGTGGTGTCATAAATATTTCTTTTCCTAAAACATAGTATTTTGCAAACCTCTTATCCATCTATACATTATTAAAACAACTCCTCAAAATTGGTTCAAGGTATATATTGTTTTCCTTCTACAACATTTTCTCAAATTCCACCTCCCTGTCAGACTAAATATATACCTCACTGTCTAAATGCCAAGTATAGAATTGGTATAAGCCCGGGGGATGACTGATAGAGCTACCCCGTCACACTGAGGAGTGACCTCTGCCATCTGAAAGGGTTAAAGCGTCTCCCTGAGAACGTCTTTGCTCTACCAGAAAGTGACTCAGAAGCACAGGAGGTCCGGCTGGATAGACACTTCCACGGGAACGAGTGTGCAATCGCCGAGGGATACACACCCTGGACGGCGCTGAAGTCACAGCCTGGCTAAATCACAGGATTCGTGCCTGCCACCAAACAGGAGATCTTAATGTCCTCTGTTTCACATGGAATATCATGAATTTCACCTCAGTCTTCTCTGTTCATAGAATACACTATGAAAAGCAACTGTAATTGTTCCTGTCTGACCCATTTTGGAAGCCTGGACATATCCTTTTCAATCATAAGTAGCTTATATAAGCGGTTGCACCGACTCCGGATGGAAGTCAAGGGGACCGCCGAGGAAACCGGGACACGATGGGCTTGGGAGCAGAGGAAAGGCCCCTTCCCTCGAGGCAGGCGCGGGGACAGCAGAAGCGCTGCGATGAGAACAGCCTGCAGAGAGGCATTCTCCGAGCCCCTGAACCCCGCACACCCTCCTGGAGTAAGGCTCCACGCAGGAAGAGATCCGGGCCTGCTCGGTTCACCCGTCCAGGGCAGTTCTCGCACATACACGACCCTCACGTATCTGGTGAGCAAATGATTTATTGAACTCTGGGAAAATACATGAAACCATCCATATAAAAATCTCTGCTTCCACTTATCTAAAACTAAACTATCTCTTCTCCGCAAATCGTTTCACCTTCCAGCCTGTAGAGCAGTGTCATATAAATCTTCCAGACCGAACATTAAAGTCTTAGACTTCACTTCATCCTCTCCAGGCCCCGGACGGCACACTAATCAATGGCAACAGCTATCATTTGAGAATCTGTCACAGCCCGACACTGAGCTGGGGCCTGTATCATCGCAGCACTGCAAGGCCAAGACCAGGCACTAGAGCTAGACACGGTGCATGGGTTCAAACCCCAGTGCCACCACTAAGCCATGTACTTAACTCTCCGCGAACAGCTGAGTCAGAACCAGAACTCAGGTCTGTTTGACGCCGATGTCCATGTTCTTTTTACTATAAACACCGCTTCTTTTAAATTTCACTGATTCTTCCTTCAAAATCTCCTAGACTTCCCTTTTCCACCCTTTGGTTCTCCAACATTTTATTATGAAAAGTCTCAAACAGTGAAGTTGAAAACAATGTTACACCTATCTCCTAGATTCTACCCTTAATGTCTTACTGTAGTCGCTTTATCACTTATCATCTATCTCTTTATCCACTTATCAATTCATGTTATTTTTTATGCATTTCAAATATATATTTTTTAATCCTCACCTGAGGATATTTTTCTATTTATCTTCAGATAGAATGGGAAAGAAAGAAAGGGAGAGAG